ATCTCAAACTCCTGGATGATCTTATCCATGGAGTCGCTGCCCTGCCGCAGAGTGGCTAGCTTCTGTCTGGCTGTGGCTTCACAGTTTGGGTCCTGGAACATGGCATCGAGTTCTGTGTTGAACTTGTCCATGGTGAGCTGGGGGGAGCCCGTCGTCAGTAACACGATGGTGCACTGTGTCGCCCATGCCCCCGCAGTCCCTCCCTTCATATAGGACAGGACAAAGAGGATCTGGGAGAGGGCATTGGGGAATTCTGCCACTTGGACATGGAAATATATGCCACATTCAGCCTTGAAGCGGTCAAGGTCTTCGGCTGCTCCAGAGAAGGCAGTGGGGGGGGGCGACTTTGGGCGGTTTGGGTCTAGGGGCGGGTGCGGGTGTTGGTGTGGGAACCGGCGCTGGTGCAGGCGCAGCTGGGGGCTGGTTTTGAGCTTGGCTCTCTATGATGGCCTGGAGCTCTTGGAATCGGGACAGCAGTTCATCATACTGCTCTTCGGTCACCATAGCGGGGGAGGTGGGGGAGATGAGGTTGAAGCCTTCTTCTGCTGTCAGGGACAGCTCTGAAAGCGGCGAGGTCCCGGTGTGTGGGACTCGGTGGGATGAATAGCGGCTGTGCATAGTGGCGATCCCATTGCAGGGTGAGTGTCCCCAACCACTTAGTCTGAAGTGGGAATGTGAGAAGAAGGCTACTTCTTCGGTTCCCACTCCAGCTGTTATTATATACATGCAGGATCGATCATGTGGGGTGCGCCACGTCACCCTTGCACACAGCCATGGCTCTCCGGGTGCCTCCATGGGAGATCCCGAGAGGGCCCACTGTGGGTGCAGGGTGAGTGTGGCGGCGGTGGTGGCAATATAGGGATGGTAAGATACAGGAGGGGAAATGGGCATGCGTGCCAGTGATACATTGAGCAGTGGGAAAGGTGGTCCATGTAAGAGAGAGAAAGAAAGAAAGAAAGAAAGGAGGAAAGGAGAACAGGAGAAAGGAGGAGGGAGAGGCGGGAGAAGTGGTGTGGAGCGGGGAAGTGGAGCGGGGGTTGGGTGGGGCATGTCGGGGCATGCCCTGACACTAGGCTCCCCTACACTTGGCCGACTCCCCCACTGCTGCACCAACCTCCCCACCCTGAGAGTCCACCTCTGGCACCATGCCCAGCGTGACTCCTCTACCCCACCCACTTGGCCCCTACAGGGCTGCTACCATTCCTGCGCCTGACTCCAGCCCAACTCCGAGTCCAGCGCTGCTACAATACCATCACCGCTATCGCAGCCCTACGCTGTTGTGGGGACAACTCCATGTACCGCAAAAAGTCGGATTCTGTGGAATTTGGCCACAAACACCCACTACATACCTGCTGATGCTCCCGATGCTCATTCTATCACTATCCAACACTCCTGACACTCACTCCTTATTTTTCCATATTTTCCCCATCATTCCCAACAACCCCAAGCAAAATTCCCACGCCCAACCATGCCGCCAATTTCACCCCCTCTCCAGACCTCCATACCCACACATAAAACCCACCCGTTTTTCCACCCGTTGGTGATGCTATACCTTCTTCCTTTACCCACAGAGCATTTCCCAGAATGGAAACCCCATACTCGGATGGTTCAGCATGGTGTAGGGTCTCATGTGGTCTTGACAGCACCTGTCAATGGCCGCATCTCAAGAACTACTGCACCAAATGGGACAAATAAGGGTTCGTTGGAAAGCTGGAGACGAGGAGATTGCTGACGGGAGAATAGGCAGGCGCTGTGGCGAAGTGTTGCGGAGTTAACTTTTACATTTCCCATTTCGGACCCGTTATCACATTTTCCCCATTCATTCATATTTCTTTTATTGTTTCTTTGTTCCCAATTGGATATTCATCATTTACGGTTGCCTAACGGCCCGTTTGCACCCCCTCATTCCATTCATTCCATTTCCAACTCATATAAAATAGATAACAGCTTGTACATAACAAGTTAGTACTGAATAGACCTGTGAAGGGACAAGCAGAAGTTACATCCAAGTGGCAAAGACACCATCCACGACTCTGACGCCCCCCTTGAGCTAGTTGCTCACGTCTAAGACCCCTCACATCATAATACTCAGCCTTGATGTCCAAGAGAGACATAGGTGAGTGTTTGTTTGAGGTTTTTGCAGACTCAGTAGTGCCCACGGATGTCACAGCTGTGCATTCTGGCCTGTTCCCTGCCTGTCCCAATGCCGCCTGAGCCCATTCCTGCTATGCAAGCATGAGCGTGAGCCCCGACCTCATCCCTATCCTCCCTGAGGACTGCCTGCTCACTCCCCCGCTTGCCCCTAGGCTCCCCTACACTTGGCCGACTCCCCCACAGCCACACCAACCTCCCTGCCCTGAGTCCGCCTCCAGCACCGCACCGAGCATGACTCCTCTACCCCACCCACTTGGCCCCTACAGGGCCACTACCATTCCTGCGCCCAACTCCAGCCCAACTCCGAGTCCGGCACCGCTACGATACCACTGCTGCTATTGCGGCCCTATGCTCCTTCCTTTATTTATCTGTTATTGTTTGTTTTGACCCTCGGTCATTGCCGGCCACTATGTGGCCAACCCCGCTCCTTATTCACGTTTGCTTCCGGACCCTTTGGCCTTCGGCCTGGGTCTGCTTCCATTCATTCTTCCTCCCTATATATATCCTGTATGATACCTTATTGTACCTTAGCTCTAATATTAATGTGACCACAACCCCTAAGTCCTGACCCCAACAAGGCAACCCCAGTGAGTCTGAAATGAGGGCCAAGAGACAGCTAGGGGGCACAGCACTCCCTTTAGAGTTGCTGAGGCCAAATGCGCTACCCTCAGGCCTTGTTCGAGGCATCGCAGCCATCGCAGCCAATAGTGGCCCACATCGGTGACCTTCGGTGCTGACCCCGGACCAGTGTCTAACAACGGACCAAAACCCGGCCCCACAAACCACACCCGCGCACACTACCACCCTCCCCCTTCTCTCTGTCTTGAGTCTAGGCAATAGACCTGTTACAACGCTCCTTCCTTTATTTATCTGTTATTGTTTGTTTTGACCCTCAGTCATTGCCGGTCACTGTGCAGCCAACCCTGCTCTTTGTTCCCTTTTGCTTCTGGACCCTTCGGCCTTCGGCCTGGGTCCGCTTCTATTCATTTCCTCTTCCTGTCAGAGACCAGATTCGAGATGAAGGAATGTCTCCGTAACGGAGGGCTTCGGCCTCAGCGACTTCTGCCAAGAGTGCTGTGCCTAGTGACATGTCCGTGCCCTAACTTACTGACTGGCAATTAGAACCTAGGGGGGTAACTCTAGTTGATTTTTCTACTGGGGCGTAACCTATGTACAAGTGGGATATATATATGGTTACAGCGGAGACGGTTCCGCAATTGGCGGAACCGAACGGAGCGGAGCTAATGGGGTTTAACCATTAGCCGACTGAATATTACCGACGAGTCAGTTCGCGGGGTTAGCGGAAAGGCAGGCGATAACCCAGAAACAGAAAGGAGGGATAGGCCCAAAGGTGGGCTCTGCAGGGCAGGCGAGTGTATTGCCCAGCAGAGGCGGGGGTGCGCTAGCGGACGTCGGAGCTGTCCAGAAGTCTTCGGGGCTCCATACTTAGGGAGGTGTAGGTAATAAATTGAAATGAAGGGGTGGTGACTGTTATGGAAATGGGAATTTCCATTTTAGACTCTTATGGGTTCTGTATCATGTGATTTATATAGTAATATAGTTGATCCAATCAATAATCAACAAAAACCCGCTGTGCTAACATCTGTTACACCACATGTCAAACCATCTGTGAAACCACCTGTAAACCCCTATGTCCAACCCCCTTTCCTATTCCTGCGCCAGAATGGACGAAAATGGGCGCTTCCGGCCCCATTTTTGTAACAGTGACCATCGAGGGGTACCGAGAGGATTGCGGAATACAGGGGCTCCGAGGTTGGTGAGGGAGGAGCGGAGTTAGAACGGAGGGATCGGAGGGACCGGAAGTCGATGGCTGGGGATGGATATGACACTTCCTATATACATCCTGTATGATACATTATAGTACTTTAGCTCTAATATCGATTTGACCATGACCCCCAAGTCCTGACCCCAGCAAGGCAACCCCAGTGAGTCTGAAATGAGGGCCAAGAGACAGCTAGGGGGCACAGCGCTCCTTTAGAGTCACTGAGGCCAATTGCCCTACCCTTGGGCCTTGTTCATGGCATCATGGCCATCATGGCCTATAGCGACCCGCAATGGCGATCTTTGGTGCTGACCCCGGACCAGTGTCTAACAAGTACTTCAGGTACATTGTTGTGGGGACAAGTCCATGCAGGTCAAACCAACACTTATCACACATTTCACCCCCTACTGCATCAGGGACTAGTATTGGCGAGTCATGGTAATAGTAGGAGTTGTAGAGACTGTAGAGGTGGTTCTGACGAGTCCAAGATCGTCGGATTTGGTGGAGTGGTTGAGGAGATATGACTTGTTCTTTATTTTCCTTACTATTTTCATTCATTCACGCATGTGACTTTCCTTTTATATTTGTATCAGACTCTTCCATGACAACTGTACAGACAGTTAGTTAGAGGTTAGACAGAGTATCAGCACCGTACTCACAGGACCCACATCTACCTGAGAGATAGAGAGAGACCTACCCCCCCTAGACCTGAGCCATGAGTCTAGATCGATGGACCCATTACAACGTCGAGCCGCTGCAGGTTTGGATACACAAAAGTTGCATCTGACTCAGGATTGATGGAATCCATACAGCGTGGAGGCTCACCCAGAGCCTGGCCATCAGCATCACCAAGGATTTGATCATTACATTGTGTAGTGTCATCACTACTCATGTTGGTGTCACTAATGGCGATTGGGTCGCAGGGAATTGGGGTATGGGAGTTGGATACGTGGTGTTGGTGGAAAAATTCATGTAGGGTCCATTTCTTCCCATCAGACACAGTTTTTTTGATTGCCTCTTGTATTCCTTTCTTAGTAACCCTTTGCTTGGCTGCATGATAGCATCAGGTGCATTCTGCTGGAGTGCCATTGATTGTGGTCCCTCCATAATGGACTTTGTTTCCAGGTATTGCACCACACTTGTTTATTAGATGTGAAGGGACATCTTCGGCTTTAGACAAGCACTCAGCTAGTGGGGTATCGAAATAGGTGATGTCGACATCCTCATTCCAATCCTCAGCTCCGGACTGACTGTCATCACTGTCACTTTCTGGCTTGATGTCAAAGTTTCCAAGTCCATCCTCATTCCCATCCTCAGCTTCAGACTGGCTGTCATGACTATCACTTTCTGGCTCAATACCAAAGTTTCCAAGTCTGGAGTCTTCATGAGCCATGAGGTTAGGGCCCAGGGTGGTGTTGCATGGTTTTTTCTGAGTCCAAAAAGTTTTATTTTTATTTTTATTGGATTAGTTGTCTGATCCATTGGTCCTTGTGTCAATCGGGCTTGCCATCGCTTTCGCCATCTTATTCATCGTCGTCGAATTCTACATAGTCGAAGAACCCATCCTCCCTTCGTGGCTACTCAAGAAGCGCATTCCCTTACTTGTCGGCATCTCCAACCTCCTTGTTCCACAGTGCAACTTTGCCGTGGTGTACTTTTATCCATTATGGTTCCAGAGTGTGCAGTTATCCTCGACTTCGGAGGCTGGTGAGTTAGTTTTTTTTTTTGGACATTTCTAGGGTATCTATCTATATAGCAAGTGGAGCAACAATACTGTCAGGGACTGTGTGTCAGTTCACGATGAAGAGGATGTTCCCGAGAATCCTAGTCGTTGTTAACGCTGAGGTGCCATCCTCAGCGGAGATAGGAGTTATATACATGGGTACCACTACCCACTAGAGTGCGGTTACAATGAGATAAGAGCTAACCGATAGAATGACGACATGAAAAGATGACTATTCATTTGGATAATCGTAAGCGAGGTGTGGGAAAGGGGTGACATGTGGATGGAAGATAGGAAGCGGGAGCTAAGCGAAAGCTAAGCGAGATTACCTGCGTTGTAGGAGAAATAATGGCCACACTATGGAAACCCATTATGGAAATATGCCAGATAAATCACAAAAACCTCATACGACAAGTAGATATGAGAACATAGAAGGACCTGAATTTTAACGAATTTTACGAATTTTTACGAATTATTATGACTATACACGATTAATCGAAAGAAAGAAAAATAACAAAAATACTTCAAGCTTATCATCAACGATACGGAATTCTCGGGGGAATTTATAGCAAATATTAAACCAAGAATTAGGACAATCGACCAAGATTTGACTATAAAAATAATCAGAGAACCTCCACGGAAACTACTTTCCCACATCTGCACACATAGCCAAGGATGGAAGTACCACGGAACAAAGATTCCTCAGGAACTAATGCAAAGGTCAAAGTCGTGTTTATAATAGGAAATGTAGATGTTCCCCAAACGGAACCAATGAGAGTAATTACAGGGGAAACTACCCATAAATGACGGAGATATGACTAAAACTCCTGCAAAACGAGGACAATGTCTAAAAGGCAAGCGCGAAGATTAACCAGTAACGACCGAGACAAGCTTGATGGTTCATTAGAAAGGAAGGGATCTAATCTTAATCCTCCCAAATTTTCATAATAAAAGGATCATGCGTTAATGAGATATCCAATAACGGGAATAGCGACATCAAAAGTCCGAGCTCAGGGACAAGACAATGTTTGCGTAGGATCCATAATTAAAACATACAACGAAATTTACACAGAAATTATTAAAAATGGGAAACTATAGTTATGCAAATTCTCAGCCCAAACGGTCCAGCCGTTGTGAAGTTATACCCATGACGGGAATATAGGAATCCGCATCATGTATAATGACACATGAGGGTGGCGATGCGCAGGGAACCGGCCATCGGAACCGAGATCCACACTTCGGCAGATTGCGAAGACCAATTTCCATCCAAATAAGGAAGAGCCCGGTCAAAACAAAGCACGAAAAGTGCAAAACAACCTTAGATCATGAGGGAAAAATCTGAAATAAATCACAGAAGCCCATATGAAAGAAATAAACACCCGCGCATATCATAAATCCCGAACAACTAAACGAAAACGGCTCCCACATACGAACGACTATGGGAACGACGCACGTGATTACCGAATGTGCGTGCGAAACTTTGCTAACTCAACGAATACAGGGAAATAGGACACAACCTTAGTACCATTGGAAAGGTGGGAATAAATGAAAATTTATGATACCAAGAACGTGAAAAAACATCCAGAAATGAATGAGATACAAGGACATGAAGTTAGAAACCTGAAAACACGCGGGAAGACAGCTTCAAGAGGTCTAGAGCCCTAAATAAAATACATAAAAATATGATATCTTCGAGGACGACCTACTATAACAACGAACAATACATATGGAGGATTAGGATGTGATAATACAAAGGGGAATCAGGGAATATGAACGAAATTCACGAAAACTACTAAACTACGACGGACCATGGCGGGAATTTTAGGGAACGATGTTCTAATGAAGTAGAGAGCTATAACACATTCGTTTGAGTAATTCTTGATTACTAGCAACTTTTTCTTTCAGTTTTAAACCTGAATAATTCACTCATTTATCATTTCAGTCTCATTTTAACTAAATGTCACTAAATAAAATTGGAATAAATCAGCTGAAGGTCTCAGCACAGTCGCACGCATAGTAATGCGAGGTTTGAATTCAGTATGACCGAGTCATAGCGAACTTAATGGGAAATATGGGGAATTTGAAATAGGGAACTGCGGCAAATGCGGCACAGACAAATTCTAATTAACCATTAAAATAGCTTAGGCGAGGAAGGACAATAAGGATTCCAGGCGCAGTCTGACCGCAGTAGAGCCGCAGTTCAGCGCAGCAAAGCACAGTGGAACTATAGCGTGAAAATTTCACTTTTTATTCAGTTTGAGAAAAATACACTGTAAATAAATCCTGTAAATAGAAGGTAGAGCATGAAAAAGGAAGGCGACCCAAGGAGTATAAAAGGGAGACCCTTTCTGCGACTTTTCGCCTCCCTCAGAGAAGTAAGAAAATAGAGTATTATTTTTCTCAAGCATTTCTGGTTGTCACTCCAGTGCGAAAAAGTGATATACAGTTAAGATTGCCACTGTAGTAAAAGGCAGCAATTAAGGAGAGAAATATTAAGTAGATATTTCAACAGGAGAGCTGGTTAACACTCCAGATTTCAAAGTGTAAACACAAAACAGTTATTTTGCTACTGTTAAAACAAGCAATAAAATAAGACAAAAATAAAACAAACTCAAGGGACACTCCAGACATAATCCAAATTCATTAACTGAATAGAATCTTTGAAACTTCACCAAGTAGAAGATTAAATCCAAATTAAACAACGCTACACAGAATTACACCTAGACAAATTAGGAAATTTCAATAAAGAAACAGCTCCGCAGGGTTCGGTTTATCTGTAAGTCAATTCCCAGAAACTTTAAAACTAACCCATAAAAATAGAATTAGCCAAAACACTCGGATTGGTACTATATTTACAATAAACAACACTAGTACACTTCCCCATCCTAACTAAAGAACCAGGGAACAGCTTGGTGGTGGTCTCATTTGAACCTCCCAACTGACCTTCCTTCGTTCTCCCCTTCAGCGCTCCCTGGGTGGGAGCAGGTTGTTGTGTTCCTGAGCTACTTGGCTCAGGTGTGGAGTACGGTAGGTCTACCGTTCTTCCCATGGGGAAGGGTGGTCATTGGCCTGGTTGTCCAGCACAGAGACTTGCATCTCTTTCCCGGTATTTGGAAGCTTTCGCTTCCCGCTCCACAGTTCTTGCGGCACATTCCTCAGGAGTCCTGAGTGGTTTGAACTGGGACTTTATATAGGCAGCTTTGCCTAGACTTTCCCAGGAGATTTTTCCCTTGTTCTCTGGGGAATTATACTCCTCCACAAGTCTTGCAATACTTGGGAGTCCCAAGAAGTATTTCTCGGTTTCCTTTGCTTTTTCGTGAAGGATTCTGTGTACCTTGCCGCTTTTGAAGGCAGCTTCAGCCTGTTCATATCAGTGTACAAATTCTTTCCCACTCACGCTTGTCCACCAAGCATATGCAGCGTTGTGCACCGCTTCTGACCCTGCTATTCTCCTCATGGGGAAGTTGGGGTCGATTGTTATGTTGACTGGAGCTTTGACTTTGCCAAACTTGTTGAGTTCGGCAGTCTTGTATAACATGTGGACACTTCCCTGCAGGGTAGCTTGCCTATAGGGTGCTGAGGTACTCAGCAGCCCACCGCCTCTGGCGGTGGTCCCCGTTTTAGGGTCTGCCATTGCAAGTGGGGTAGTGAAGCACAAGGAGGGGTTTTGGGGATAAGGGATAGGGAATGGATGTGCAGCACAGCGGCACACCAACCTACCACCACGATCACCACCTGAACCTCTACTACTCCACACCACACCTACTCCCACCCAGCAGGATGAGAAACGAAAAAGGGGGGCCAGCAAGTGGCTTCCTTGGACAGAATCAAGACTGAACTGAAAACTCAACTGGGACTCGGCATCCTATAACTCGGTGTGGATCTCCCTCAAGGCTACTGCACTCGACCACACCTCCAGCACACTTCACTTCATGACCAGATCTAAACATAGTGGAGGGGAAATCTCTGTATCAAAATGTAACTAACCAATATTATATACAAATGACCCTACAAACGCGTCTGCGAGCTTCCAGCATGTTCCATATGACTCATCTGGTCACGTCGCAAGAGAAAATAGAATAGGAAACACAATATCACAAGCAACAAAATATAGAACAATAGAAAGTGGCCGCAGAAAACCTAACCTGCATCTCCAGCCCAAACCACTGAACACAACTGCGCTCCCTTCATGTCAACCATCCTGCCTAAACTACAGCTATCCAACGCAACAAACCGCATCCAATTTGATGGAGAATTGAGTGAGATAGTGTTGAGGTGGGGAATATCCGGCACATTTTCCTAACTTTCCAACCACATGTCGCCATGGTCCCAAAATTGGCACATCTTCCCAACCAGTTATACAATAAACAATGGATATTTATTCCTATTTTTTTGAAGCCTGAGGGATGCCAGGGACCATCTCTGCACCCCATTTCCCACGCATGCGCAACGAACATGTGACATGCATCATAATCCACAACTGGAATCTGCGTATCTCTGTCAATACCTCACTGATTCTCCTCGCGTAACATGCGTCGGAATCGCCTTGACATCCTCTACCATCCATACTATGACCTCGTCACCTAATTCCTAGCCAACTTTCCACTGTAGGATTTTCTAACATTTTATCCTGCATGTGAGACCCGATATATCGCCTGTTCTGGGGTGTC